GGTTCCGGATCCTGAGGGTCCGGATCTCTTCTGTTCGGTGATCCGTCGATCTGGATCACGGGATCCGGGATGGATGGATTCGTTGCCTGGTTGGATTGATCCATTCTCAAGTTATGAAGTGAAGGATTCAATTATCTCGTCCCCACAGACGGCGCCAAAATGTGAGGGATAAATCTCACTTCCTAGTTTAGGTTAGGTTTAGATTGGGGAGAAGACTATCGTGGGCTGAATCCCTTAAGAACTTAGAGAATGAATACGTTGTTTATATTGATTTTTGGTAATAAAAGAGTTTACAAGGATGATCTTGATGATCTAATGGAAAGAACAATGATCGATCAAAAGTGATTAAGAACAATGTGTATTAGAGTCTTGTTATCTTGAACGAGTTGAATCCCTTTCTCTGATCTCTTTTTTCCTTTATATAGCACTAGGTCACGTCCAACCTCTCCCGACGGAGCCTCCGTGGTTATCTCCATGAGTTGCGGGATTCGCAACAGCTTCCGCTTGACTAAGTCTTGCACGTCTCTCCGGAGCTGTTTCTTGCTAACTGTTTTGAAAGTGAGGTCCTGAGTCTTTTGTTCGCGACCTGTTTTCACCGATAGGTTACGGTTTCATGTGGTCCTCATTTGAGGGGAGGCTTCTTAATGGGCTCGTAAGGCTTCGCAAACGGTTCTTACTATTTGGCCCATTAATTCAGCTAACGGGCTAAATTCGGGCCCAACAGACCTAACCTCCAAGTTCTTGTTTCTGACTTAACTTCTAACTTCGAAGTTCTTGTTTCTATCCCCGTTGTTACAATATCCCATTTGTCTACCTCCACCATCTAATGCTTAAGTTAACATTAACATCCTTTTCGATCGTCCCAAAGCCTTCACGGTCCAAAACTGACTTATGACTAAATGTCAAATGTATACAGTTTACAGACCAAAACAGATGAAGATTCGGACTTGGGAGCTATAATTTAATAAACTTAATCAGTTAAAGGCGACTTGTCTTGTATACAGTTTATTATTCCTCTATTTCTGACGTCATATAAAATGAACATGTACTTGTTTAATAATGTGAATAACAAAAAAGTACTTTTCTTGAAGATCATCATTGTACGTCATTAGGTAAAGATCAGAAGTTCTTCAAAGAAAATTAACTTTCTATTATATTTTAACACAAACATTTACAAAGCTCTAAGCGATTCAACACAACCTAGAGAAAGAGAGGCAGAGAGACACTCAGTGAAAAATCTCAGCCCTCACTCTTCTATTAGATCAAGAAGGAGGACAAGATCCAAAACAAGATCTCTAAAAAGTCTTCAAGCAGATCAGAAGTCAACGAGATGAGAAGAAAAGTCAGGAAACAGCGACGACCGATTAGTACTCGAAGGAGAAGGACAAGGCAAGATGAAACCGCCAACTCTTACGACGTTGCTGTCGTTGCCTTGCCGTCTTGGAAGCATCCCGGCGGTGAGTTTAGCGAGAGCAGAAGTGTACTCCACCAGTAGCTTAGCGAGGATTACGACAGAGATCATGATCGATGATAACTTAAGAATCAGGCGAAGGATTTGCAGAAGAAGAAGGATCTGTAATGGAAGTTTGGTGGTATGACTTGTGAGAAATAAAGAACTCTTTGTCTCTTTATATAGACAAAAGAGTATTGCTTCTCCACTGTTTTGTGACATGGACTCTTTGTTTTAGTTCCTTGTTTTACTTAAAACAGATAAATAATCAACGCGTCGTAAGCGTTTAGCTGCCTTCTCTAATCTAGTGATTATAATATGAGTTTTATTTTCTTATTTACTAGTAATATAATAACCCAGCAACACATCGGTTTCAAGAAAATTGCACATGTTGTTGTCTTCTAGACCTCTTTTGTCTAAATCTGTTTAGTTCTCGATATTATTACTTTTATATGTATAAACAAAATAAACGCCATATCTGACAAATTCATGAACTACTTTTTGCTTGTACAACACTACAACTATGATGAGTTTGTTTAGTTGGATGTGTTTTTTTTTTTTTGAAACTTATTTAGTTGGATGTTTTTTTTTTGTTTGCTAATATTTGGTGCATAGTTGGATGTTTCTATTGCACTTGAAAAGTCAATGACAAAGCGATGGATATTTAGTTACTAGTATATGATTAGGAACTCTAATCACATATCATTTAACATATGATTGGAGCGTACAGATGTAGATTTTGATCTAATTCTTTATGGCAATATCAGATATTTTGTTCTGATTCTCTGAGGTGGATCTATTATAAATGAGATATTGCCAGAAATAGCACTTTCAAGATACCACTTTTCAACTTTACACTAACCAACTTTACCATTAAAATTCTAATACTCAAAATACTATTAGAATTTAAGGTTTAGGGTTTTGGGTTTAGGATTGATAGTTTAGGGTTTAGTGTTGATTTTTTAGGGTTTACGGTTTACTTTTTAGGGTTTAGAGTTTAGGGTTTAAGGTTTAGAATTGATATTTTAGGGTTTAGGGTTGTTTTTTAGGGTTTAGGGTTTACTTTTTAGGGTCTACAGTTTAGAATTGATATTTTAGGGTTTAGGGGTAATATTTTATTTAATATTTATTTTATGTATATATATAAAGAATAAGGAAATAAGAGTCTTTTATCTTTTAATAAAATATGTATTTTTGAAAATGTTCATTTGTTGATGGTAAACATGAAAAGTGGTACCACCAATGTGGTATAATTGAAATTCTCCCATTATAAATTATGCTAACAAAAAGATTATAGTTTATAACAATTATAAAGTACAATTGTACAAATCAAGCTTCACGCGTTCACAACTCGGCTGCTGTAATATAGTCACATAAAAACTAATAGTATATAAATAATATTGAAATCATATAAGTTAGGCAATTTTTAATTCGGTATGAGTTGTAGTTGACTGTAAGTTGTATCTGAGTTAAATATTTAAAATAATTGTTTATTACCCGAACCTCGACATAGTCTTTGAAGGCATATAGTTCACATTTCTGTAGTTTGGTTTAAGATTTATAAAACATAACTGCTTATACATGGAGATAGGAGGAGATGGGTGCGAATGGCTCGGATAGCATTCAAATTCATGGAAAAATAGTATGTATTATAATCTGTCGCGCACTCATCTTGTCTCGTCATGCATTATCTCTATTTGAAGTTTTGCCTCAGTAAGAATAGACAAGTGATTAAAAAGACAAATGCATTTTGATGATATAAATAACCAAATCAGTTATTTTAATTTTTATTATTATATACTATACCAGAAATGAAACTTAGCAAAAGAAAAGTTGTAATGAAAAAAGCTTTGTTAGATTCAACATGTCAGTATCACAGAAAGATCTGGCGAGGAGGATCAAAAACGGATTTGTCTGTTTTTGTGCAACTATACCAAATGATGTCACACTCTAATAAATAATTCAGAAATCTATTCAGTTAAATTCGCAGTGAAGTGGACCACGTACGATACATATTTAATCGGGAGAAATGAATTAAAATGCCGACAGAAACGTTAAACGTATCACAATGCCGTCCAACATCATCAGCAATTACCATACTATTATTTTATCAGCAGACAAGTTTAGATTTGATATACTAGTTTTCATTGTTGAACTTTTATTTCAAATGTATCTATCTAGTGACTTTTGTGTCACTCTTGGCTTTATTCTTTTTATTCTTCTTTGGTCACAGACTTGTAAACGAGAAGCATACTAATAATCTGATAATCACCAATTTACTAGTTAGGGTTTTCTGCAAACAAATCTCAGTGTAGTTCTTTTTGCAAATTAATTCGTGAATTAAAAAATCTATGGACTCACTCTTCAAGTGATAGTCAAACCGCAATATAACCCTCGATCGTGTATATATGAATTTGACTGTGTATAACTAATTGCATCTCTTCTGCGCAAGCGCGGAGCCGAAATCCTTGTTGTTTGTGTATATTTTTTCGATTGTTGGTATAGTGAATTCTTCTAATAACACCAAATAATGACGAAATAGAAAGAATGTAGCAAAAAGTGTAAACTGAAATATTGTATATATAATGTATTAAATATTATTTATATGCGAAGTAAGGTTTATAGGAATAGTTTTTTTTATAACACTGATAAATATGATTGTTCAACAATGGTAGCTTGAGATACATAATAAAAAATAAAATGGGGTGTCAATAGACACCTAAAACAAAAAGAAAGGATTCTCACCCAACCATCTCCTTACTTTTGAGCCTCCAAAGCAAGAAGATGATGAAGCCACACTGGAGCATATCTGGCAATGTATGATTGATGACGCTGATCACGAGTTACACTTCGAGCAATTGCCGCTGCCGCTGCCGCTTCATTCCGTTCTTGAAAGGCGTGATCTAAGCTCCATGTGTCTATTATTGCCAAATGAGAGACGATATTATGGCTGATGATGTTGAAATCAAGGTTTTGCTGGGTAGCAAGCTTTGTGAGAACGTCATGAAGGCTGTCGGATGATGTCTCAAAAATAATATTTGAGAAATGTAAATTATCCATACATTCAATCGCCCAAAATAGAGCCCATACAGAAAGCTTTGGTTTCATTAGATAGGTTTTTTGTATATGGTTTTTGGCAAGTTTGGGCTTTGTTCACGAATGATGTGGCATTTTTTACGGCGTTGTTGACTGTAGGAATCTATTCGCTGGAGTCTGATAAACCATTAATTTGAAAATAACCTTAATTTAAGTTAATATTTGTTGTCTGGTTTCATTAGATAGGTTTTTGTATATGGTTTTTTGTAAAGTTTGGGTTTTGTTCATGATTAATGTGGCATTTTTATTTACGATGTCATCGACTGTAGGAATCCATTCGCCGGAGTCTAATAATCCATTAGAGTCGATTGTGAGAAGTGCCTTCAATGAAATTATAGTAGCTATTAAAAATGTAAGAGAAATTACATATCTATTTAATAAATAACGAAAATACTTATTTTTAATTTTATTTCATATACATAACTTTTGAAAATATATGTTAGGAAATATGTCATAATAGAAAATATACATGAAAGTGCCACTTTTTTGTTTTGTTTTTTGGATTGTTTGTTTTTCGATTTATTTTTAATTGTTTTTGGGTTTGAGTCCGTTAAGCTGTAGAGTTTGTCCCACTATTTTGGGCTTTAAAACAATAATCCCAAAGGAAAAAAAACATAAAATCATTATAAAAAAAAGTCCATATGATAATAACCCAAAAAAAAAAACCAAAAATACATGCTAGCTACGTGGTTTGAATCCACACACTTACGAACTTAATTAAGCACTTTACACCTTTCAGCTAGTGTAATTCATTGTCTGTAATCATTTTAGAAAGACTTTGTGCTTTTAAAAATTAAACGCGTGGAACCCATAAAATGCTAATGTGATGCATTGTGGAGCCTAGAAATTCTACTATTATAATAAAGACTAGATTTTGACCCGCGCTTAGAAGCGCGGGTTTTTCTTTGATTGTAAATAAAATTTGTGAATTAATATTTTGAAATTGGTGGACATTATTATGTTACAAATTCATTATATCCAAGAAAAACACTTGTTTAAAATTATATAGTTTATAAATTAGCTTATATAAGGTTTGTATGTACATTGCTATATCCCGAAAATATA